AAATTATAATTTTTAACTATTTCTTTGAAAAATATATTGTATTTTGTTTTTGGTGGCTAGTCCATACTATACTGTATCGCAAAATATTATTTTATTATATCCAATCAAGCGTGACATTAGTTTTAGGAATAGACAAAAAAACAAGTTACATATATTTTTTTGTATTTGCAGTTATTCTGCAATTTATAATTCAAGGTATTGGTTTCTTATTTACTCCGTGACATAAAAAGTGGACTCCAATAATTACAAGTGAAAATTATCATGTAGTAAAGGGTCATTGTGTTTAGACTAGAACTAAAGAACTGATAGTTGACAATCAGAGACAGGCTATTGGAAGCCGGTGTTTTTCCTTATAATGGGTTTACTTTGGTTATGAATACTCAACTTTTAAAGTTTTAAGCCCTCGACCTATTTAAATATGTTAATTTGAGTCTTTACATAATTGAAATCGTTAATGTCGATCTTAAAATTATCCACAACCTTTAGTTAATTGGTGGAAAATATTAAGAGATTCGAATTCAATAAAAGTCGTGTCAGGATCTGTCTGCAAAGCCAGGGTTTCGATGATCTACAATTAACGGATAATCAAATATCTCAAATATATCATAGAGAAAGAACTGGGTCGTGTTTGGTTGAAATAGAACGAGATGGTACGGTGTGGAGGCAGTGATGACACACTAATATTTGGCCATTCTACAACTGGTCAAACCGACTGCACTTGGGGACATTGCACGTGTATCCCCTAACCATGTTTGTTTTCTTATAAATATTCTCCAATTCTTAATCCCACAAAATTCGTGCTCTCACACTTTACTTTCTAAAGCAACACCAAAGTTATTTTTCTGATGAAAATTTCATGTAAAATAATATCAATGTTTTAAAAGGCGCGCTTAAATGGTGCATTGCTCGACGAAAACGTCAAATCAAGTGATTTGACACCTAATTTAGCGATCAACGGCCATCGTTGACCGCTATATTCGTCTAGGCACGCATTGATATCTTTTTTTTTTAAAAAAATTAACTTAATTTTTTTGGAAAAAGAAAAAAGATATTCATGCGTGCCTAGACGAGCATAGTGGTCAACAATAAAATTTAAAGGTTGACTTACATTTGAAACTTATCTTTTTGTTGAAAACTTTTGAAAAAAGGGTTATTGGCGCAAAACGTCCCTACCTTTGCCGGTTGTTGTGGAAAACGTCCCAACCTTTGATTTTTTGGTGTAGAACGTCCCTACCTTTCACTTTTTTGGTGCAAAACGTCCTTTTCCCTAATT